TACTGCTTTATCACGTGGGCCATGCCTGCCTTTCCCACTGTTAGTTGATGCCAACACTGGCTTAAGGTAATTTTTCCCTTGCAAAGGTACTGTTTTCCCTTTGTGCTTAGCAAGTAATCTGTGAGCTGATGCTGTATGGATATCTTTTTCACTATCATCATTTCACCTCGTGGTTTTAGCATCCGTGGATAATACTTGCCCAAATCAGTTATGTTATTCAGATTTCAAAACGGTGATTTGCTAAATCAGTTATTTCCCCTTTATTTATAAGTGAGCATTTCCCCATGAAGAAGAGCTTGCCGTCATGAATTGCTGCTGTCTGGCGATCCTGAACTGTGGGTACTATTGAAAAGGCAGGACAAAATGCTTCGTTCCCTTTACTAATTTTTATAATAAGTTATTATACTCTAAAGATGGCAAATGAGGTATTTTTTTTAAATTTTCTTTTTCTTTCTCCGACAATCATTATGGAATTTGTTAATGTGTTTCCAGTTAATTATACTCCAGTTCTCTTTGATTCTCATATTGTTCTAATTTGTCCTGTGGAAGCTCTTTCTAATGGAGATTAAGAACTAGAAGGAATCTTAGAATTAACTACTTCAAATCCCCAAGTTTTATAGTGGAGGAAACTGAGGCTCTAGGTTTGTGCCATCATTTAAGACTAGAACAGATATTAGGAGGATACAAGTCTTTTGAAGCCTCACCTAGTGCTTTTCCCACTGTTCTAACAGAAATATCTGCAGTAAATCTTGCTTTCACCCTTTTCCTAATATTAAGCAAAATGAGAGAAAATGGCCCACATTTTTGCAATCATACATTTTTTGAATTCAAAATTACTTTCCAGTTTAGTGCATGACAAATCGAATGCATTAATTATCTGCTTTCTTCAGAAACAGTTGAATAAACAAAGAAGCACCATTGTAGGCTGGACATTGGATCAGTCTGAGAAGTGAGTTTGACTCAGACAATTTTGTGCGTAGGTGTTGAATTTGTCTTGAAGCTACATTTTATTTGACCTGCACAGAGTTTCGAGAACACAGAATTCATTGCCAATATGGGAAAGTAGTATTTTCGCATGCAAATCTGAGTCATCAGTTACTGCATCTATCTGGTAACGTTGGGCCAACATTGTGATGTAGCAACATTCAGTTAGAGTGAAAAAACTTTTTAGGTGTGCATATCCTTTCCGACTCACCTCCTGGCCACTCCTGAATGCATCATTTACGTATTTATTGTGGGTGGCTGGTATTGTGTTGCCTCCTTGCTGAACTTGTCAGCCTTGGAGGTGGTGATCCTTGAGATAGTTACAAGCAAAGAATTTGAAGACGGTTCTTGCAAAGTAACTACAGAGCGAAAGGAATTCGATAATGCAGGCACAAGTGGAAAGCAAGAAAATGGAAGAGCTGGAAGTTTTGCTGCTGCTGGTATAAGATCTTCAGCAGCTTTATTACAAAAAGTGAAACCAATGATGACAGGAAGTCAGCCAGAAATTTTTGAAGACTAGGAAGGAAATCCATATATTTCCTTCCTATCATTAATTATGAACCTTCCCGTAGGTGTTTAATATACTAATGTGCGTGTATGTAATTTATGATGTATCCCATGAAAAACTTTCATATTGTAGCTTGAAAATGGTCAAATATTGACAACTTCATATGATTCTACTCAGACAAAATAATTCATAGCTGTGCTACCCAAGCAAGTTTGATGCCTATTGAGGTAGAATAGGCTTATGCTTAAGTTAGACTCTCCATAGGAAATGGTTAGCAACTAAAAATAAAATTACAATCCCAGTTTTTAGAAAATGCTATATGTGTAATAGACACAACAATGAACAAAGAGAGAAGAGGTGGGTATCAGGTGCTGGAATTCTTGGGGAAGTGATAGGGTGAGTCTACTAAGTATGGAATCTTCACCTAAAGCTGAATATAAATTATATTTTAAATATCTACATTGTGTCTTACCACAGGTATTATGGATAATTGAGAGTTTGCTATTTACATTTTTATAATCTTGCAGCACAGAAACTCAAGTTTATTTGATCAAATCATTCCAGTACACTCACTAATGTACTTTGAAGGAAATCTCATCAAAGCCAGAGAGCTAAATACACTTATCTTAATTAATTCACTCCCTCTATCCGTGTTTTTATGTCATTGTTTTTCAAAGTGGAATGCAGCTCATTGGCAAATTCCAAAATTAATCTATTGGGCCAAAACACTTATTGTTTTTTAAAAGCAAAGTGAGTAGAGAATATGGGAGTACATTATACAGAGTAAGGATAGTACTTTTTTTGAGACATATATAGAATATTTTAATTTTATAAATGTGTGTTTCTATGTGTATGTGTGAATGTGCTAGATTGGGATGCAAAATGTATTTCTTACTAAGAGTTGAGGAAAAAATTAAAAGCCACTATTTATTATTGTAACCGGGTGGTTTGAGTTTAGATAGTGACGATTCACTATTAATGGTGAAGGTTTAAAGTCAGCATTTTGATTCTTAGTTTGTGTTTCCAAAGCTTTAAGTCCTTTAATAATATTACTAGGCCTGCATCCAAGCAGGCTTCTTTCCCTGACCCCACTGCATTTATTTGGGTTTCCATTCCTTCCTCTTGAGTCCTTTGAATACTGCTGAATTGATTGATTCCATTTTTCTTCCTCCAATTTTTTACTTTAAAGAGTAACTGACTGTTTGGCTTGGGTAGATCAGTTCCATTGGAAAGTGTGTGCTCAGATTATTGTTACCTTCTGCAATAGTTGATAAAGGCCACGGCAGTGTAGACTGAAAGTTGAACCACTTCCATTAATATCAAATCCTCAGATTTATTACAAAAAAACACACCTTCCTTTTTTGGTCTGTTTTCTCGATTAGTTTTAACATCAGTTCACTCAGTTTCTTCAATTCAACAGTCAACATACTGAGTGTGTACACTGAGCAAGGCCCAGCCCAGGGAACTGCTAAGTTGTGGTCAATGGACAGCTGAGGAGGGTGGCACCAGGCTGCCTGGCACGCTGAACCATACGTACCAGCATCTGTCAGGATTCAGAGTGCTGGCTTGGTCAAGTGGAAGGTGCCTGAGCCTCCACTCAGAATAGATCCTGTCTCTGATCATCTATCAGGAGTCCTCAAACTACCCACCCGCCTAGGACATTTATCCGGCTGGGTGTTTTTGCTGCTGCCTGTCCTGCTTAGCAGCCGACTCATCCCGGGTCCGCAGTGCCCACTCTCCAATGGTCTGAGGGACAGTGAACTGGCCCCCCCTGTTTAAAAAGTTTGAGGACACCTGATCTAGCTGATTGACCTGAAGCAAGTCATTGAAACTCTTTGAGCTTTAGTTTTCTTAGGTGTTCAATGGGGAATGTGGCACATAGTAGTTAAGTAAATATTAATTCCCCTCCCATGTTCTTTCATTTCTTATGGAGCTTTTCTTAACTACCATCAAGGACTGGTTAGGTCCCATCTTGAGGAGAGAAATGATTACTTTTTAAAGAAACCATCTTTGGGGCTGTTGTGCGCGTCTGAGATGTGTTACCAAGTGCCCGTTTTAGCATGACAGGATTGCGACGCAAAGCTGGCTTCCGGCTTCTCCTAAGTTTGCTCTCTATATTAATATTCCTACTGTCATTATAAATAGTCAGCAATCTCCCTGTTTCTTTGCTACGCCTGTGTTTAAGTTATTTACAATTATAGTCCGAATTTGAGGGATCCCTGTAGGTCTTTTCTGCCCTGAGGTTAACATTAAAGAAACGGTCTTCCTGGCCCTGCCAGCATTTAGGACGTCTTGTAAAATGGAGGGGCTGGGTTAGCTGTTTGTAACTTCTTTCAGCTTTAAAATTTTATTATTCCCGAGAGTTGGGTTTTCTGTTGTTCATTAAGTAATTTATATTCCTTGAAACATTGCATTGGTGGTTATTTTTCCCCAAACGATGTTCATCAGAAGTTCCCCTGGAGAGTTTGTTGGTTTTTTTTTTTTTTTTTTTTCCTACTGACTCTGTGTGAAGCATGGAAAAATAGTCCTAGGCAGGTTTGGAGGCAGCTCACAAAGGCGCGAGTGGATCTGTGTCCTCTCTGTACACATTTCTACATGGTGTTTGGTTGGACAGACACGACTGACTCCCTCTGTCTCTGCAGTTCCTGCTTTGGTGGCTGTAGAGAGGAACAAGCATTGCTTGCCCCTTGAACATGTCCTTGTAAGTCCCCGCAGTGCGGACCGCAGGGACCAGCCACTCCTGGTTCACACATTCGGCCTGTATCGGAGGTTCTCACCTGGGAATCTGTCAACGTGCAGCTCCCCACACCCTACTTCCAGATTCTGATTTTAACAAAGCCCAGGATTCTGTGTTTGAAACCAGCAGCTGGTGATTCTCATGTAGGTGGGCTACAGAGCACACGCTTGGTGACACCCTGGTTTAAAGTGTGCCCACTTGGGTGATTGAGAGATTGACAGGTGAGTGTAAAGTTTATTTATGGACCAGTCTACCTCTGAGAATGGCAAGCCTACTTCTTTCTCATCATTCACAATAGGGATGAATTTATAATTTTTATGGAAACCAGGTGATTTTCTGCCTGGTGGGCTTGTCTCTCAAGTCAAGCAAAACTCAGTGCTTTTTCAAGCCCACTTGACAGAGGCTATGAAGAAGATTGAAACATGAAGCTCCAGGTGCAGCGCCTTGCCAGAATTTGAAGGTTAAGCAATTTAATCCTTTTATGTTGGCTCCCATGTTGTACATTCAGGGTCTGAGATTCAAAACAGATGAAGTTGGATTTTAAATTTATGTTATGCAAATTAGTTAAAGTCTTAAAAGTATCTCAATCATTGGGCATGAAGGTTTAGAGGAAAAAAAGTCCAGAAGAAAACAATTTTTATTGTTTATTTTTTTATTGTTTTTATTTTATTTTATTTTATTTTATTTATTTTATTTTATTTTATTTTATTGTTTATTTTAACAACTTGATTATTGTGCTAATCCTTTTTCAATGTAATTCTTGCTACTCAGGGTGAAAAGTTTGGACCTTTCGCTGGAGAAAAGAGAATGCCTGAAGACTTGGATGAAAATATGGATTACAGGTTGATGTGGGAGGTGAGTGTGCCTTACTTTTAGTGTTAAAAATGTTCTTTTATATTATTTAATGCATTTATAAGGCTATATGAATCAATATTGATTCCAGTTAAATATTTAAGTATTAAAATGTTTTAATTTTAAAGAACATGAGTAACTTGAAAGTTTAACAATTTTTTAGAAAAAGTAGACTGTTGAAATATCTTACTAGATAATTCTTTTCGAACTGTGAAGTTTATAGTTCATCATTGAAAAATAAGTTTTTCATGTGTAAGGTTGTTTGGATTTCAAAATAGGCATGCATTAGGTTTAGAATTTGATTTCTGTAAGTGAAATTATACTTTTCCTTTAATTTGTATTTCCCTATTTCCTTCTAATTGTCTAGAAGTAATTCCGAGTTTCATATTGGCACAAAAATCCCACCTTAAAATGTATCTTACCTTTAAAAACATATAATAAAAGAACTGTGACACCATGGACGGTCTTTTGCAATCTGAGGTTTCCGTTATGTGGGAATCTGTGTATGCCAGTGTATGTTTGTGTATTCTGAGAATTTTCATCTTTGTTATGCCAATTACATTTATTGCTATTCTTTTCTAGCTATTAGAAGAAGGGTCTGAGGGATAGAAATAGGAAAGAAGAGGTGTAGAAACTGTTGAAACAAAAATTTGGAAAACTCAGGCCCAAGAATTATACAGTCATGTATTGTTTAATGATAAGGATACGTTCTGAGAAATGCACTGTTAGACAGTTTTGTCATTGTGTGAACATGATAGAGTGTATTTACACAAACCTAGATGGTCTAGCCTGCTACACATCTAGGCTGTATGGTGTGGCCCATTGCTGCTAGACCACACACCTGGACAGCATGTTGCTGTGCAGAATCCTGTAGGCAACTGTAACACAATGGTGAGTGTCTGACTACCTAAATATATCTAAATGCAGACAAGGTACAGTAAAAATGGGGTATTATAATTGTATGGGGCCACTGTTGTGTATGTGGTCCATTGCTGAGTGAAACGTTGCTAGGTAGCACAAGACTATTTCGTGGTTTCTGTGAGGAGGCTAAGACTTGAGACGTGTAGGTGGGGGTGAGAGAGGCAGGGATCGTAAAATCAGGAAAGGTTGGAAAACTGGAGTAGAGAACCACTCACAGGAAGTCTCTGACTATGTATGTATCAGTCAGGGTCTTTAGAGGAATAGAACCAAAAATATTTTATATATATCTTTGTTGTGTGTGTGTGTGTGTGTATGTATATACTTAAATAAAGAGATTTATTTTAAGGTATTATTTCACACTATTGTGGAGGTGACAAGTCTAAAATCTTCTGGAAACTCAGCTAGGAGTTGAGGCTGCAGTCTTGAGGCAGAATGTCTTCTCCAGAATACCTCAGTTCTTTCTTTTAATTAAGGGCTGGGACTAATTGGATGAGGGCCACGCACCTATGGGGGGTGATCTCCTTTACTTAAAGTCAGCCGATTATAGATGTCAAAATCTTCGCAGCAACACCTAGATTACTGTTTGATTAAATAACTGAGTACTATAGCCTAGACATATAAAATGATCAGAGTGTAGTATTTATAAGAAAAACACATTTGTAAGTATTATCTCTAATGCTGAAACTGCTGGGGTGCCTAAAAAAGCATTCTGAAAGGTTCCTGAAGTATAAGTGATGGAAATGCGTAATTTAGTCCTCACTGTAATTTAAGTGGGAAATGTTATTGTTACCGCTTTAATATAGCTTGCTGTTTTAATTGTGTATTTTAATCAACCTAAAAATATCTTTCATTGCTTTCACTATTTTTTCTATAAGGTCTTAGTTTCTTACGTGGTTAATTCTTTTACCATGAAGATTTTCAGAAATGAATATTTATGTGACCAAAAAAAAAAACCCACCTAAATAAATCATAAATGGTAAAAATAGAAATTATTAACAGGTTGTTTAATGACTTTTTTACTTTATTTCAAACTATGAAGGGGGTACAAATGTTTTTGTTATGCGGATACCTTTTATGATGCTTAAGTTGAGGCTTTTAGCTGGCCCGTCCCCTGAGTAGCACACACTGCTCCTCTAGGTGTGTTTTAACCCCACATTCTTGGTTTCCAGTGTCCTTACGCTTTGTTGTGCCCCTGCATGCCACTGGCTAGCTCTGTGTTTAAGGGCTTTGGATATTTGTTTTGTTCTGAAAGTTTTAGTGTGATAGTCACATTACTGTTTTGCACAACTGGTTAGGAGGTATTAGCAGGTAATAATTACAGTTTTTATTTAAAAAGGAAGACTTACATATAGGAAACCTAAGGCTGATTTTGTACTGTTACGGAGTTGGCAGTTCAGCAGATTGTCTAGTTTTGCATTATCTATTCCTGTGGTTCTTTAATGTCTTTAAGTTATTATTTTGCTTTTACATACTAATTATTCCCAACCCTCTCACTTTGCTGCCCAAAGAGGTATTGATTTTATACATTTTTATGCTTAGGTAATGGTACATTCACATGATTGCTATCGTCTATTTCATTTGACTTTGTACTTCTGTTTGTGTTTTGAATAAGTAATGTTTGTACTTGTTACACAATTCAGAAGGTATAAAAGGGTATTGATAAAAGTTTCTATCTCCTTCAAGTCTGCTCTTTTACCTAAGACCTTTGATCTATTTAACCCCTTAGTTTAGGTGCCTCTTCCATGACCCCCAGGGGTTCTTCCTCCTTGTGGTCTGGTCTTCACTTTGGATTGTCAGCCGCCCCCTGCTGTGGTCCAGTCCCACTGCAGGGCAGGGGAAGCTACAGCTGCTCTCTCAGTGGTATGTCTTCTGGGGGGAACATTTAAAAAGCATCCAACACCTTTTGAATCGTAAAGGTTTATTGCCTGCCTGCTAGCTCTAATCCTATTCTTTATTGTGTCCAGTAAGTGAACTGTTTCCCAAACTCTGAGTTATCTATTGAGAGTCCTTTTTGATTATTTAGCTTTGGAGGTGCCAAGATTCGAAAGGACCACAGATACAGGAGAGTAACTGGGCCTACTACTGGTTCCCCTTCTTGAGTCTCCCCAAGGGAGATAACAAGCCTTCTCTCCTCTGGTGGATACACTGGGATTTGTCATTTAAGTCATTTCTGATGCTCCCCATAGCTACATTGCCAATCAACATGTGGCTCTCAAATGGGTAGCCCTTTTCAAGTGAATAAGGTGCCTATGTTATGGTTATGGAATGGGAGCCAGCTATCTGGAAAATGCTGTCACGTGAGAGAGCATGTGGCATGGCCCTTGGTCAGTTGATTCTTTCCCATTGTGCATGGTGCCGTCAGTGCTGGTGGGCAAGGCCCGGAGCCCCTGGGTGACCATTTCCTACCAAAGAACTTGGAGGCACCACTCAAGATTGAGCCTCCTGGTAGGTGTGAGCCCCTGTGAGCTTGGGGCAGTGTATAAAGGGATCGTGGGTCAGAGGGGGAGCAGTGACATTGTCCGCTCTCCTCTCTGTCCACAGGTGCAGCTTGGAGCGTACTTGTGCCACCTGATTCAGAGATTTCACTGTACATTGGCCTCTTTTTGTGTTGGCCACCAGGATTTTAACTTGTTGTCTAAAACAAACTCAGTCTTGTTTGCCATAATGCTTCTTGATAATCATGAGGTTATCAAGAATGAATTTGTAGAAATTTTTACTTTTTCTTATGAAGTTAAGTGCATTAGCAGAAGAACTATGGATTTTTCAGGCTTCGGGCCACTTGTAGAGCTTGAGGTTAGGAACCAGTGCCTGTCTGTAGATGCCTCTCACTGACAGTTTGGTAGCATGTGCTCACTTGTTTGTACCGGATTCTATTCTTCTCTTAATTAGAAGGCTTTTTGCTTACTTTTTGCTAGGTGGTTTGGAGCTTGAGATACATTTCCTTCCACTCTCTGTTCTCTCGGACTTGCTCTAACATCTAGATCCATTCATATACTGTTGCTAAACTGTCAATGATCTTTTGTTTTTAAATCTCTAAGACATTCCTTTTCTACAATATTTTATTAGGCTTTTCAAACCACAATTCAAATGCTTCTCTCCAGGCCCTGCCTCTATGCTAACCTGTAAGTTTTGGCACCCGCAGACCGCAGGAACACTTTGCACGTTTTCCTTGCTACCTGCTGTGGGAACAAGGATGGCACAGCAGAGGGAGGAGGCAGGTCTGTGGCCTGCCGTGGAAGGCACAGCCTGGGTCTGGTGGCGGTCTGCTCGCTCCGTGGCGGAGACTGGGTGTAGAGAGGAGATTTTGGCCTTTTCCCCCTAAGGTATGATAGCCACAAATAAGTATCAGACCCAGTGCCTGTCAGCCTCTCAATATTCAGCTGATGAGAAGGAACCATCTGCGAGAGAAACCCAAGTGTATTTATTATAATTTATCTCTCTCATGGGGGAGGAAGTGAGGCAATATGAACAGGAGGAGTAGGGTCTTTTACTGAGAATACATACAGGTGGAATTACGTTTTTTTTTTCCTCCTCCTGAAAAAATGATAAGCCTGCTTGGAATTCTTTTTTTTTTTTTTTTTTTGAGACAGAGTCTCGCTTTGTTGCCCAGGCTAGAGTGAGTGCCACGGCATCAGCCTAGCTCACAGCAACCTCAAACTCCTGGGCTCAAGTAATTCTACTGCCTCAGCCTCCTGAGTAGCTGGGACTACAGGCATGCACCACCATGCCCGGCTAATTTTTTCCATATATATTAGTTGGCCAATTAATTTCTTTCTATTTATAGTAGAGACGGGGTCTCACTCTTGCTCAGGCTGGTTTCGAACTCCTGACCTCGAACAATCTGCCCACCTGGGCCTCCCAGAGTGCTAGGATTACAGGCGTGAGCCACTGCGCCCGGCCCTGGAATTCTTTACAAAGCAAAAATAGGCATCATGAGTGAGGTGTGATGGAGAGAGGAAGGATAGCAGAGCCAGGCAGTTTCAGTCTGACTGCACCCCTAGAATGCAGGACACCCTGTCTCCTAGGGCTCATGATTCAGTAGGGAAAGATAGATATAAAACACCCTTAATAAGTAACATAAG